AAAAAAAGAGGTAGATCATCAGCTATGAGCACAAGGTCCTGTCTGTGTTCAAGCCCCAGTACTAGCACAAGATCTAGGATTGAAAAAAAAAAAACCTGGGAAGAAATGTAATACTATTTGGGTACTTATGGGGTAGCTCATGACTGTAATCATAATCAGGAAGCTGAGACCTGAAGATCAAGGTATGAAGCCAGCCAAGGCAGACAAATGCCAGAGATTCTTATCTCCAATTAAGCAGCAAAAATCTGGAAGTGGAGGTATGGCTCAAGTAGTAGAGCGCCAGCCTTGACCAAAATATCTTAATAGTGTAAAGGATGAAAGTTTTTGTCTTGCTGTTTCTGAAACTGTTTTCAGGTACCTCAACATTGCTATGTTACAATCAGAGCCTCTTCTCCAACGGATGAAAAAGGCAAGAAAATGTGAAGTGGAAAAAAATTTAGATGTGATCAGTAACTCAGTTTTATTTCCTGTGCTAACAACCATTAAAACCCCAAACAAAACAAGTGGCCCCTAGCACCCAAGGGCCAATGAAGAGAAGCCATTAGGTCGTCACCCTTAAGCAACAAGTACTTCTCTGTGCTAGGTAAGGATGCATTTTTGCTTCGAAGGAGACCTAAAGTTGCAACCTTGGGTGTGCTGCCCAGTCCACCTTTAGCGGGCAACAGGGGGTCCAAAGCGCTGCATGGTCCGCATGACCAGGGCAACCTGTTCAAGGAAGCTGATGATGGAAACCCGGAGCAGGCGAGCATCTCCAGCTGTCCAGTGTCTAAGAGTGAGGAAAAGAGAAAAGCAAACTGTCGTGGTAAGTCCTCCCCTGTGACACCAAACTTCTGACAGCTCTGTTATTACCAAGCAGAGTGGCTGGGCGCCTCCATGCTGCCCAGCCGAATGCAGGCCGCCTGCCCACCACGCAGGCCCCTGCTCAACTCACACGGCCAAGGTGCTCCCGCTCACTGTGAGCTCCTTCCCCAGTGCTCCCTGGTGGGGCTCAGCATCTGGGGCCAGAGCCCCACGGGCGATTTCGGCTTCCAAAGGGGTCGGGAAAGGCACGCTGAGGGCGCTGGCGCAGGTTCCGTGAAGGAGTATCATGGGGACTTGGTCCTCGAGGGCCACCCCCACCCCCACGAGGCCGCCTCCCCTTCAGCCCTGCGTATACACTCCCAGGCCACCCCTGCCCTCACCCCGCTCCCCAAGTGCCCTCGGCACACCCCCAACGCCCACACCTCCTGGCCTCCGCTTCCCGCTGGCTCCCCTGCTTCGCGACTTCCCCTTCCCCAGACCCAGGCACCACGGCCACCCCCTCCGTTCCTTTGCCGCTCCCGTAGGATACAACATGTGTGGTCGGACTCCAGGCCTTTCGGCGCAGGACGTAGCGTCTCTGCCTGAATCCTGGTCTTGTAACACACGTGCAATATGGTGCGCTCCGCTGGTTGTAACCTGTACTAAACCTGGATCGCCAGGACAGCAGCAGCTACCCCGACTACGCTGGCCGTCGGCGCCAAAGGCTGCGTCTCCGGAGCCCGCGTCGGCTGCCTGCATGTTGGCTACCGCTCCGCCTTCCACACCAACGGCCCGCCCTTGCCAGTGACGGCTGACGCAGCGCTGAAGCTCCACCCCCTGAAGCTCCACCCCCCCGGCGCTTCCGCGCGCAGGCGCAATCCGGCAGCTAGCGGGGCTTTAGGGGCAAGCTGGTCAGTTCTCACCTGGATTCCTCTACTCCACCAGCAGCTTCTGACACGAAATGATCCACGCACCTGTACAAATACACCCCTAGCCAGCTGCCAGGTGCGTAGTCTTCAGCCGACCATGTTGCTCTCAAGCCCTTGGGAAACTAAGGTTCCTTCACCGAAGCTCCAGCCATTACAGCAGGAAGCAAATTGGGCTTTCCAGAGTGGATAAACAAGCCTCAAATGACTGGCTGAGTTTGTGATCGCTTCTTACCTTCCCGTCCTGCTGGAAGTTCCCTGAGACCCCTCGCTTAATCTCAGACTTAGTCGGGCGCCAGTGTCTCTCACACCTGCAATCCTAGCTTTGCCAGGAAACTCCGTGACACCCTATCTGCCATTAATCACCCCAAAAAGACGGAAATGAGGCCCTGGCTACAGCACTAGATTTTACTCTGGTGCTAGCCTTGAGCAAAAGCAGCACAGGGGCAGTGCCCAGGCCTCGAGCACAAGTCCCAGGACTGGCACCAAAAAAGGGGAGGGGGTGAAGAAGGGGGAGGAGGAGGAAGCAGCTCAGAGTCTTACAACACCTAATCCCAATGGAGCTTCTGGGCACTTGCGCGAACAGATACAGCCTCCATCACATGCATTCCCACCATCTTTTTTCTTTATTATTATTTTTCACAGTACAAAATGCCGTTAATTTATTCTGACCTTCAAAACAATTATATTTCCTAGATGACATAATAAAAGTACGAATGCAAAATAGATACAAGCTCCTTCATTTTTCAGTATTAAATCTCTTTTTCTTTCCATGCTAACTATTCTGCCTGATTGTTTATTTTTACTTTTTATCACTAAGTAGTTTCACAAAGAGGTTACATTTCCTTAAGTCAGGTTATGAGTACAATGCTTCTTGCTCAATGTCACCCATCATTCTCCGTTTTCCCCCTCTTATCCCTTCCCTCCAGCTATGTACTTCAGTTCTTACCTCATGTAATTGGCTGCAATAACTGCATTTCCTTCTTCTCTCCAGACCTTTGTCTGTCTTCCTTCCTTCCTTCCTTCCTTCCTTCCTTCCTTCTTTCCTTCCTGTCAGTCGTGGGGCCTGAACTCTGGGCCTGGGTGCTATCCCTGAGCTCTTCAGCTCAAAGCGAGTGCTCTACCACTTGAGCCACAGCGCCACTTCTGTTTTTTTTTGGTAATTAATTGGAGATAAGAGTCTCATGGGCCGGGTGCTGGTGGCTCATGCCTATAATCCTAGCTACTCAGGAGGCTGAGATCTGAGGATCTCAGTTCAAAGCTGGCCTGGGCAGGAAAGTCCATGAAACTCTTATCTCCAATAAACCACCAGAAAACTGGAAGTGGCGCTGTGGCTCAAGCAGTAGAGTGCTCGCCTTGAGCTGAAGAGCTGAGACAGTGCCCAGGCCCAGAGTTCAAGCCCCACGACCGACCAAAAAAAAATGTCTCACAGATTTTCCTGCCCAGGCTGGATTTGAACTTCAATTCTCAGATCTCAGACTCCTGAGTAGCTAGGATTACAGGTGTGAGCCACCAGTGTCTGGCCTCTCCAGCCCTTTTTCTAGGCCCAGTATTCTCCAAGACATGTGGCACGACATCCATGCAGGAATCTGCAGGAGTGGACCTCTCCTAGGGATATCACTTTATATAGCACTAGCACTAGCTGGCTAGAGTGGATTTTATAGGGGCCAAAGCTGTCTGATTTGCATCTTACACATGTTTTGGAGTGGCTGTTTGGAGATGAAACCTGCCAGCAATGAAGGTGAGAAATCACAGGAACCTCAACCAAAGTACTAGTGTTGTAAGGGAACTCAGTCCCAAGAAACAGAGAAGCCACCACTTAAGAGGCCAAATTAGCTGGGTGCAGGTGGCTCACGCCTGTAAGCCAAGCTACTCAGGAGGCTGAGATCTGAGGATCGTGGTTCAAAGCCAGCCTGGGCAGGAAAGTCTGTGAGACTCTTAGCTCCATTTAACAAACAGAAAACTGGAAGTAAGCACTGTGGCTCAAGCAGTGGAGTGCTCGCCTTGAGGTGAAGAGCACAAGGGCAGTGCCCAGGCCCAGAGTTAAAGCCCCACAACTGACAAAAAAAAAAAGAGGCCAAATTATGAGTCTTACTGGACATCCAAACTGCTGGTGGACTCATGTCTCATAGACCAACAACTCAAAATGCCGCTAGCACCAAGCTTATATAGGCCTAAACCACATAAGATGTGAGGAATCAATCCCAACAAAAGTGTTATACATGAGCAAGCTGAACCAGATGAGGACACTTAAACCTAATAGAGCAAACCATCTAGGGAAACAATCAGGGGAAATCAAGGGCTAATTATCTAGAGGAAGCACAGTCTCCTTCACTAGCCGTGTGAATAAGTATAATCAGATTTGTGATAATCCTGAAATACTAATTTAATAAGTTATACAGTATATCCACAGAACTCTAGAACAATACCCCGATTAATAAATGTGCAGGATCTCTGCATGCTAGAATTTCCTTTTTGTGTTTTTTAAGGGAACTAAAGTTATATTTACAATCAGAAGGTTTGCAGCCATGCGCTAGTGGCTACTCAAAAGGCCGAAATCTGAGGATCTCTGTTCAAAGTGAGCCCAAGCAGGAAAGCCCGTGAGACTCATTTCCAGTGAAACACCAAAAAGACTGGAAGTGGAACAGTAGTTCATGTGGTAGAGCACTAGCCTTGAGCAGAAAACCTCAGGGATACTGCGTAGGCCCTGAGTTCAAGCCATAGGACACACACACACACACACACACACACACACACACACACAGAGTAAAAATCGCCAGGTGCCTATAGCTCACACCTGTAATCCTAGCTACTGAAGGAGGCTGAGATCTGAGGATCAAGGTTCAAAGTCAACCCATGAGACTGATCTCCAATTTATCACCAAAAAGCTGGAGCAATGGTTCAAGATGTAGAACTCTAGTCTTAAGCAAAAATGCTCAAGGGCAGTGCCTTGTCTCTACGTTCCTATTACAGGACCAGCACACACAAAAAAAGAGAGTAAAAATGTTATAATTGAGAAAGAACAAATTTAAATGAATATGACAAAAATCACAGAGACAATAATTCAGTGTTTTTTTCTTTACTTTGAGCCACAGTGCCACTTCTGACTTTTTTTTTTTTTGGGTCCAGTCATGGGGCCTGAACTCTGGGCCTGGGTGCTGTCCCTCAGCTCTTCAGCTCAAGGCTAGCACTCTACCACTTGAGCCACAGCGCCACTTCCGGCTTTTTTCTTTTTGCTTATGTGGTGCTGAGGAATTGAACCCAGGGCCTCAGGCATGCAAGGCAAGCGCTCTACCACTGAGCCACCTTCCCAGCCCACTTCTGACTTTTTTTGAGTAGTTTATTGGAAAAAAATGTCATGGCCTTTCCTGTCCAGGCTGGCTTCAATCTTCAATCCTCAGATCTCAGCCTCCTGGGTAGCTAGGGTTACAGGCATAAGCCACCAGTGCCTGGCCTGAGTGCTTTATTTATTTTTATTTTTTGTGTGAAGATAGGGTCTCACTATCACTATGTCAGCCGACTGGTCTTGAACTCCTGAGCTTAAGTGACCCCTCCACCTCAGCAGGAACTACAGGTGTTGCCACCATACCTAAGTAAATCAATGTGTTTTACATTCACTTCTGTTTCTATACTCCTTTTCTGGGTTATATTATAAGGACAAAAATAATTGGCTTCACTCTTAGCATATTTGTTGTTGATAATGATAGGGATGAGGTGTGTGTGCACCTATTTTGGGTGTTCTTTTCCACTCTTTCTGGTAACAAATGAGTAAATATATCGATGTTAGAATCCAGAATTCTTACTGTGGAGAGAAGGTGTGAAAGAACTGTGATGCTGGACTGTTACTGAAGGTTTCAGTATGAACTTGTGATTTCTAGGGTATGTATATATTCCAATATCTGTTCATCAAAATGGTCTAGAAAGCCAGGCACCAGTGGCTCATGCCTGTAATCCTACCTACTCAAGAGTCTGAGATCTGAGGGTTGCTGTTCAAAGCCAGTCTAAGCACAAATATTTGTGACTCTTATCTCCAATAAAATACCCCCTACCCCAAAAAAGTGGCACTGCAGCTCAAGTGGTAGAGCACTAGCCTTGAGCAAAAAAAGTTCAGGGACTGGCTTGAGTTCACACAGAAAAAAAAAACAAACGGTTTAAAAACAATGGCAACAGTAGCAATGAGCACATCAGTCACACAGACCTTAGAGGTTTTGTGGGGGCAGGAGGGTTGCCATGAACTCTTGCTTAGCTTTTCAGAAGGTAACAGGGAGTAAGAGTGAGTTTTCAGATAGAGGCTCTGTAGTGCTGCCAACATGTGGGTGGCTCACACCTGTAATCCTAGCTATTCAGGAAGCTGACATCTGAAGATCAAGGCTTGAAGGTAGCCTGGGTAGATAAATCTGAGCAACTCTTTTTTTTTGTCAAATTGATATTTTAGAGGTGATACACAGCGGAGTTACATTTATATATATATGGTAATAATCTGAGAGAGACTCCTTTTTTTTTTTTTTTTTGGTTATGGGCCTTGGCGCTGTCCATGAGTTATTCAGCTCAAGGCCAGCATTCTACCACTTGAGCCACAGCACCACTTCCAGTTTTCTGGTGGTTCATGGAGGATAAATAAGTGTCTTGTTCTTTCCTGCCCCGGCTGGCTTTGAACTACAATCCTCAGATCTCACCCTCCTGAGTAGTTAGGATTACAGGCATGAGCCACCAGCACCCGGCTGAGATACCTTTTTTTCTTTTTTTGTAGGTCATGGGGGCTGAGCTCTGGGCCTGGGTGCTGTCCCTCAGCTCTTCAGTTCAAGGCTAGTGCCCTACCACTTGAGCCACAGCGCCACTTCCGGTTTTTTGCTTATGTGGTGCTGAGGAATCGAACCCAGGGCCTCATGCATCTGAGGCAAGCGCTCTACCACTGAACCACCTTCCCAGCCCCGGCTGAGATACTTTTATCTCCAAATAAACTACCAAAAAGCTGGATGTGGAGCTGTGGCTTAAGTGGTAGGGCACCATCCCTGTGCAAAAAAGCAAAGGGACAGTGCTCAGGCCCTGATTTTAAGGCCCAGCACTGATAGCAAAAAATATATAAAAAATTAAAAAACACTGCCCTCTATCTCTGGCCAAGATGAGCCTTCAGCCACGAGGCCTCCAGTCTCTGGCACCTAAATGGGAAGCATTGGCATAGGGATCAATAACTATGTCTAGGGTTTCTTTGCCTCCATAGTGGGTTCAATAAGCCCACACAGGATTTTTGTTTGTTTTGCTTTTTTTGAGGCGCTTATATTTACTTTACTAAGAGTTAAAGAAAAAGATGTATTCGCCTCTTACATAGTTATAGTTACATTTCCACAAGCCCACATGGGCTTACTTATGTCTTTGAACAATAGAAAAGCTCCTTCTTATTTGAGAAGCCTTTCCTCCTTTGTTACCTTAAGGTGATTGTCATCTCCATTGCGCCTCCCTGTAGGATCTGCCCCAGTCCCTTGTGAAACCCAGCTCTGTCCACAGGAAGCAGTCTCTGCACACCTTGAGGGGGCAGTTGACATGGGCAGTGAGCAACTCCCTCTCATTCCCACAGCCAAAATAATCAGACACAGTTCTGGCCAATGAAATAGCAACATTTATTAGCTGGGGCATCTGAGACAGAAGCTACACTGCAGAGTGTTTCCCACTGGCAGTGAAAAGCAGGCAGGATCCATCGAAGCAGCAGGCAGCTACCTTTTGCTCCTTGTAGGTGGTGGTGGAGGATGAAGGTACTGGAAAATGCAGAGGGATGCAGGAAGAAACTGGATATTTGGTGAAATTGTTCACCCACTGCCAGAACTCCTGGCCTTTGCAGTTTTGTAAACCAGTAAGTTTCCGTTATTGCTAAACCAATGATTGGAAACCCAAAGCAGCCCAGTTTAATAAGAATTCCTCTTGGGTAAAAGTCTCACATGCACCTTTAGTGTTATTTACTTTAAAAAAATACATTCCCTGACTTAAAATAAGCCTGTCATGTGAGCTGTCACACCACACATGCTTCTAAGCAGGTTTCTGCTGTATGCTATCCCCAGCTCTCAGGGAGGCCCAGGGGGCTATCATCTGCTTTTCACCCTCCTTTGTTCATCTTCCCGCCATGGGAACTCAGTGTTCACCCATCTGGCCCGGCCAGGAAGGGCAGGCATAGCACTGACCACACTGGGGGGCGCCCTTGGAGAGAACAGAGGGACAAGAGCAGTATCCTCCTGCGTGTGCTTGTCTCACAGCCTGAACTGCTCCCAGCTCAAAGGAGCAGGTACTTGTATGATGTCTAGCACCATCAACAGGGCACAGTGCTACTGAGCCCATACTTCTGTATCCACCTCAGCATCCTGAGGCTCCTCTTGGGCAATGAGGAGTGTGCAAAGTAGAAGCCTCTGTACACAGGAAGCATCCATCTTCCATGGGTGGGAGATGTGTGGGTGTAGAGGCCGAGGCCAAGGCAGCTGTGACACTACCTTGGCTGAATCATCTGTCTACTGTAATGGGTACAAACTACCCACTTGGAGGAGGAGCTTAGCAGGTAGGGTGCCCCAGAGAAAAGCTGTGCCACCAAGGCCCAGGAAACGCCATCTCTGGCTCATGTTTGGCTACTGCTTCATTTCTGGCTTGAGTTTGTTTAGGGAACACCATGTAGAACTGCAGAGGACAGCAACTCCCTATCCTGACGTGGATAAGGAGGCAGGAAATTGGTCAGGTTGAAGAGTGGCCCTCGCTGTTACAGACTCCAGGACTGGGAATGCAAGTGGCACCAAAACTTGGCCCAAGCCATCCTGCAGAGCTGGGGTGACCCTGTGGCTCCAGGGTCTGGCTCCAGAAGCTCAGGGGCCCAGGGCTATCACTTGGCCTTCTTTGGAAAACTGTGGAGGGTTCTGCCAGCTGTGTTAGAGGTCAAGTGATAGCGCTTGGCAGCAGGGCAGCTGCTTTCTTTGTTAAGTCTTGTGAGGGAGTCACCCAAGGATTTAGTCTGGGTGGCTAAATGAAATGTCAAAGCCTATCCCCCAAAGAGCACCTTCCCCAGCACACTGAGGCACTCCTGTATAAGGTGGCTGGACTCAGATCTACCTGGCCCACAGCATGCCAGGTGCCTCCACTGTACTGTCTCACCTGTTCTGCAGAAGGTGGAAGAGAGCCCTGGTCAAATGCTGTGAGTAGTGCCTACCAAGAGCTGGGGTACACACCAGCTATTATTATTACTATGAGCCAAACTGCAACATGAGAACACATTTAATGCAACATGCAGCTGTGGCCTGGGCTTGGGCTCCTCCCCTTATTCAGAGGACGCTATTTGGGGAAACCCTTCTCCATAGCTTCAGAGAGCTCAGGGTGCAGGAAGCGACCGGCTAAGCGTTCGATGTCATCCAATGTCAGGCGGCTTAGAGATCTCTCATAATCCTAAGGAGAGAAAGCCAGGAGAATTCAGGGGGTGTCGGTGGAGACACGCAAAGGGTGTCAGTTGTAATGGATGCAGGGATTGGGAGTCGCGGGAGCAGCTAGGACTGGGTGGTGCCCTCACCCTCTGTAGCTGTTCCAGGACCCTGCTGGCATCTGCCACAGTGAAGTGGCGGGCAAGGACTTTAGAGATCAGCTGCCAGACAGGCGTCGGTGCAGAGTCAGCCAGTCTGCGGGCAGTGCCTGCTTCCAGTAACACCTTGTCCAGAGGTTTAACCACTAGGTTGAGCTTGGAATTGGGTCCAATGCTGTAATCTGACAGTCGTTTGTCATCTGCCAAAGAGAGATTCGTGGGGTTTCTTCCACACAGCCGTGTGGCAACCACAGAAGCGATGCTGCCTCGGGCAGCCAGAGGAACAGCAGTGTGGTGGTGTCTGGCTCTGGTGGCTTCCGCCACCTTCCCCCAGGGTCCTTTGGCACCTGGTAGCGGAGCCAGAGTCCGGATCCATCACACTGCTGCCTGGGCCCGGCGGCCCGGGCCCCTCATCCACCCACTGCCTGTGGGGTCCCCTGGTTACCTGCTAGGGCCTTGCCCTTGAAAAGTAGACGCTGCTGGCGCACCGGCACATTCAGCTTCTCGGAGACCAGCTGCTTCAGCGTGGACACCAGCTCGTCCTCTGCCACCTGATAGGGCCAAGGGAGGGAGGCAGAGGATCAGCCCACAGCTCCTGGGCAGGGAAACCCTCGTCCCGTCCCGTGGTTCGGCTCTCCGGCCTCCCGGGTCCGCCCGTCTCGGTGCGGGCCCGGCGATCGTACCTGCAGGCTGCACTCGCGGCCCTGAAGGGCCTTCACCGTCAGCTGCATGGCGGCTGCGGCGGCGTTGACTACGTTTCCTACCCGGCCCCAACTGTTCCCCGGCCTCGCGCTGCCGCCCCAGGCGCGCGCCGGAACCGTTCGTCG